GAAAATGATCAGTGAATAGCAAATTAAATATGGGTCTGTTTCTGTCACAAAGATCTCATAAATCTTTATAAGACTTTGATTGTTGTGCTTTATGATGCTTTTCATCCATTTTTATTGGCGTAGTCACTTTGAACTGTCACTGTAAAGACACATTTGAACATTATGCCCTATTTCTCCTTTTGTGGAATAAACTGACAGAATTTAAATTTTTGGTGAACTATTCCTTTAATAGCTTGAGAAGATGAACCGTCTCTGAGATGCTCTGACGTCTAAACAGACAAACAGCAGTCAGGTAATACAGACAGTCATTTGTCTGTCAGAATTAGACTGTTTGACAAGATGACAGCAGACAGACTGGTTTGCAAAACATATGGATTCATGTCCTCACCGTATATGAAATATTACACTGGATGGAGATCATTTTAGTTGCCTTATATCACAATATCACTATAAAGTGAACCTGAGATGCAGTATGGACAAGACTAATGCGGAAGAAGTCCAACTACGTGAGATGAGACTCCCTCCAATGAGGCAAACAGAGAAAAGCGATGCTAAAGGACCTTTACACTGTGTTTAAGCCATTAAGGAGCTCTATGATCATGTTAAGCCGATAAACGCTCATTTGTCGGAGGGAGTGAGACAGACAGAACTTGTCTGTAGCAGTGAGACATACCCTGAGTGTCATCTGTCTGTTCGGTGGCCTGCATAGCTTTACGGATCTGCATACGGATGATGTCGATCTTTGTCTTACTGTCCTGCAGCATCTGCTGAGCCGACTGAAGCAGCTTCTTATCCTGAAGGATAGATAGATAGATAGATAGATAGATAGATAGATAGATAGATAGATAGATAGATAGATAGATAGATAGATAGATAGATAGATAGTCAGATAGATAGATAGATAGATAGATAGAAGGTCCGATAGATAGATAGATAGAAAGTCAGATAGATAGATAGATAGATAGATAGATAGATAGAAAGAAAGAAGGTCAGATAGATAGATAGATAGAAAAAAGAAAGTCAGATAGATAGATAAGATAGAAAGAGGGCAAGATAGATATTTATTTTGTGCATTTTTTATAAATTATATAAGCAGGCTACTTTTAAAATAATTACAAATTAATAATAAATTTAAAACAATTGTTAAGATCCAAATAAATACAGCTTCCAAACATACAAGCAAATATAAAGTAATAAAGGGGGAAAAGACAATTACAAGTGATAAACAAAAAGTACTTTCAGTATCTGAGAGTGCTTTAAGTGTCCGAAAGTTCACAGGCAATCATAATTATGGGTTTTTCTTTTTTCCTCAGCATTATTGCTGTTTGATTATTACTGATGAGATCATAGACAGTGGCCGAATGCACACTGATGCACAGATCTATTTCCACATATCAGATGTTTTGTCCTCTTCTGAAAACATAACTGACTGTGTTTACATCAACTTCGTATTCAGAGATTAATTTAACCACAGCCGCTATTAAGCTCCAGGACAAACAAACACAAAGCAAACGTGAAAGTCTGTCAGTACGTGAGTTTCGTGCATCTAATACATACTGCATTCCAAACGGCAATCATGAAAGCATATCTAAAGTAAAACACGGAAATAATGGCGGGTGGAAGCACACACTAGGTGCGCAGACGAGGGACAAACTCCAGGCTGCTTCCCTGCTATCACACACAAGACAACATTGTGTCGTTTCAGCTCAGCATGCACAAACGATGGCTGTCGACATTAATTAAACTAAAACGAATCTTTAAAGGGGTCATATGATGCGATTTCAAATTTTCCTTTCTCTTTGGAGTGTTACAAGCTAATTGTGCATAGATAGGTGGAAGCACACACTAGGTGCGCAGACGAGGGACAAACTCCAGGCTGCTTCCCTGCTATCACACACAAGACAACATTGTGTCGTTTCAGCTCAGCATGCACAAACGATGGCTGTCGACATTAATTAAACTAAAACGAAGCAGCGCACTCATTGAATCACAGTCAGTTCTCTTCACTGAGGTCCGTTTAATCCAGGATTAACGTTCTGTAAAGTGTTGCCAACTCTCACAAGATAAATAAGCAAAACAAGCCCAATTTTATTATATTTATTTATTATTGTGACCGAGCTTACGCCTCGGGTTCGCCTAATCACTTTTCAAATAATAAAATAAAACTAGTGAGACTCGGGTATTTTATGAACGATGTACTTTTTATTCTTCTTAACTCCAAAGAAACTCACATGGCACACATGGGTGCTCTCGTTAACATGTGCGACGCGTGCCCAAACCTTGCTTACGGCCAGCCCCGAGGGACAGAAAAGCAATACACACACAAACGCAACCCCACAGACTTAACATTAACTTCAAAATGTGTTACATTATCATCATCAATATTCTTTATTATCAATAAATGAGCCTGCAACTATAGCAAACTGAAACCTGAAACCGCTCACTCTAGGCCGCTGTGTGTTTTGTTGTGAAAGCGAAACTACTTTGTTTGGTCTTCCAAAAGAGGACACGACTAGAAATCAGTGGTTAAGTTGTATTTACAACACTGTTCCAGAACAGTTCAACCCAAATATTCAGATGTGTGCAGCACATTTTATGGAGGACTGTTTCCTGATCCTGGGAGAGTAGACTACAATGCGGCTGTTCTGACTCACAGACTGTAAGTACTTTCTCCGATCACAAATGCAGACATGGTTTTATGTTTACACGACGCGATGCAATGCAACACGTAAAAAGACAGTATAAGTCATTATAATCCATAATTATGTCCCCACTGGATGCAACGAATGCCTCGTTTGTAATGGGTTTTAATGTTTTTGTCTCGTTGCTCCGGCCGGGAGATGGCATCACAGTATGGTGAGGGGCGTAACATTTCCGTCACACGCTTGAGGTATTCGGCCAATCACAACGCACTGGATAGCTGGCCAATCACAGCACACCTCGCTTTTCAGACCGATGAGCTTTGTAAAAATCTACACATTTCAGAAAGGCGGGGCATAGAGGAGCAACAATAATGTACAATATGTGGAAAATAATGTGTTTTTTTTTACCTTAAACCGCATAAACACATTGCATTACACCAAATACACAAAATGCATCATATGACCCCTTTAACTAAAACTAAAATAATAAAAAAGATTTTATCTTTACTTTAACTTAAATAAAATGAAATATAAAAAACCTGAACTTATTTCATTTCAGCTTCTTGCCAAGTCAAATTTACTTTTCTTTTACCTTAACTCAAATAATAAAATAACAATTAAACTGAAATAAACATTAATAAAACCTATACATGTTTTAAAAATAATTAAAATGTAAATACAATTTATAATAAAAAATAAAATATAAATATAAAATTTTTACTTAAATTTATATTTAAAATGTTAATAAAAAGTATATATATATATTAATACAAATTATAATAGTACTTGATGATACTAAAATAATAATGCTTTACTGTAACTTATGATCAATTTAATGTGTTTTTGCTGAATAAAAGTATTAATTTCCATTAATTAAAAAAAATATTACTGACCCCAAATATGTTTCGTGGCACTTGACTTTGTTTCACTAATTTATTAGCATGAATAAAGAAAGGATATTTTTACTGCTTTTTGTGCTCTGGAAAGTGCAGCCTGTAGCATCTGTGTATCCACGGTAACAGTAAGAGCTCCGCCCCCACACTGGCAGGTGAGCGGCTCACTGCTGATGTCATCCTGCCCCCCGTCTGAAGACCCTTCTGAACCACAAACCCATCTCAAACAGTCGTCTTAATCCCATTTTGTCTAAAAACTTTCATCAATCTGATCAAATATTCAAGAAATTTGTTAAAAAACAATGTTATTTCACACACATTTTGGCCGTATGTTCGTATGATCAGATCATGCACACATGAGAAATGTCACTCACCTTTTCCACCTTCCCTTAACCTGATGACGAAGCGATTGGCCAGATCAGCCTCGGTGTACGAGGTCACTTTGGGAAAGCCGTTCTGATTGGCCCATTCTAGAAGGTCGGGGGGGCTGAGGAGGTCAGAGGTCACGGTGCTGGTCATGCTGAGGCCGGGGGCTTGAGGTCGGTACGGCAGACTCACGCTGTTGGACGACTGAACGACAGAGACATACATGTTTGCAGTTATTCAAGTGTTTGGAAAAGCAGGCCGTTCAGAAATAGAAATGCAACTTTGTCCTGAGTGTGTCCTTACATAGACCCTGACGTGACCTCTGACCTCTGGAGCCACCAGAGCCCAGTTGACTGGCGCGGCACTGCTGAGGATCAGAACAATCCTGTGATAGCCTGAACGAGCCACTGGAGGCAGCAGAGAGACAGACGCCTCCACCTGCAGAGAGCTGAGAGAGAGAAACTTTCATTTTTACAGGATATGCGGCGTGTTGTCGATTATGACTGAGAATCATTGTGTGTTGGCTAACTAATAAAAGAAAACAGCAATTTCAGAAGCTGGAAAGGGAATTGGGTTTAAATGTAAAAAATGCAGCTTATTTTATTAAGATGAATTAAAAAAGCAATATTACTATATTATTAATGTTGCCCTTTTATGTATGCCTCTTATTTTGTTGTGTGTGTTTGTGTGTTTGTGTGCGTGTGTGTCTGTGTCTGTGTCTGTGTCTGTGTCTGTGTCTGT